AATTTGCTAGAGGGTAGTCAATGTGGATTCAGGCATGGTAGGTGTGGCAGTCTGTACTCTTATTTTCACCTTTTTCCCAAGACTATGATAAATTTTGCGTAACGTATGCCTTGTAAGGTATCATTTGAAAACCCAATCTGCTGAACATTATTGTCCTGGTAAAATGTGTGTCAACATTGTATGTAAAGTTTTAAAATTCTACTGTATGACATTGCTGAATATGTTCCAAGTTTAGAAAAACAGCTTCAGACCATTTCCCCAGAGAAGAAAGGCTAGCCACCACCTCAGCCAGGTGTCAACATAATCAAATGGACTATCACCAAGTCAAATAGCCATTATTTGGCAGGAAGATGCGTGTGGGTGAGAAATTTACATGTTGGCAAAGAAACAGACCTACTGTCGCCTGAAGCCCAGTAAGAGAGGCTCCTCAAAGAGAAGAGAAAGATATAAGGATAGAGAACACACAACACAAATGACGTCTCTTCTCCCTTTCTTTCTGCTCAGAGCATCAACAGCACCTGAAAAAACATTGAAGTGGGGGAGGGATCCTGGCTGGGAAGCTTTCCTCCAGTAAAGACTGCAAAAAGCAGGTAGTGAGAAAACCCTTTGCTTTGAATTCATTTAGTTTTCTAAGTTAGCTATTCGTTTGCATTTTATCTTTTATTTTCTTTGTAACCAATTCTGACTTGTATGTCTCATTACTTGTAACCACTTAAAATCTATCTATTGATAGTTAATAAACTTTATTTTATTGTTTTATCTAAACCAGTGTGTTTGGATTGAAGTGTTGGGGAACCTCCACTTGAAATGACCTATCCTCGAGAGGGTTTCTGCATATCATTATCTGTTAATGAAATGACGGACTTTCTATGAGCTTGTATTGTCCAGAAGGAGAGAGCTGGGCAGTACACAATGCATATTTCTGGGGACAAGTCTGGGACTGGGAGTTTGCTTATGTTGTTCTGTAATATAATTCAGGAATGGCTGGCTAGAAGAACTCTTATAATTCAGCTGGGAATGATTTTGAATGCTGGAGGCTGTGTGAGAGGAGGCCAGGAGGCCAGGTTGCTCTCACAGCAAAGCAGTGTAAAAAGCACCCCAGATTGGAGAATTGAGGTGACACAGCTGTCCATCAGTCCAGATTGTACCCTCGGTAATGTCTTAGGAGCAGGGCCGGCTCTAACTTTTTTGCCGCCCCAAGCAGCAAAAAAAAAGTGCCGCCCTGCCATAACACCCCCCCCCAAGCGCTGCCCCGCCCTGCCGAACCCCCCCACCAAGTGCTGCGCCACCGAACCCCCCGCCGAGCGCCGCGCCACCGAACACCCCCCGCCGCGCTGCTGAACCCCTGCCGAGCTGCTGAACCCCCGCTGAGTGCTGCCGAACACCCCTGCCGAGCTGCTGAACTGCTGCTGAGCGCCGCGCCGCCGAACACTCCCCCCCTGGAGCGCTGCACTGCCGAAGTCCCCCACGCAGAGCGCCGCTGAAACCCCCGCGGAGCACCACACTGCTGAACACCCCCCGCACGGAGCGCTGCCGAACCCCTCCCCATGGAGCGCCGCGCTGCCGAACACCCCCGCCAAGCTGCTGAACCCCCGCCAAGCACTGCGCCGTGCTGCCCCCCCTGCCACCCCAAGATTGGCCGCCCCTTACCAGGTGCCGCCCCAAGCACGAGCTTGGTTGGCTGGTGCCTGGAGCCGGCCCTGCATAGGAGGTCATGCTTAACTAACTGCTGCAGTTCTGGGAACATAATGCTGTCAGGGTGAATAAGGGATATTCAGAGGCTGAAGAATACCTAGACTTTCAAAAGGTGGTGGATGGGTTTTGAAAAGAGGATTTGCTGATGCTACTGAAGTCTGAGTCGCAGCAAACGGCAAGGAACACTGCAATCCGATTCCAAAGAATTTGGAGTGTTTTATAGGATTGGGGGTGGAAGGCAAATGCAGCTCAATCCCCAGGCAAGAAAATTACAGTTGAGACCCTCTAATAGATGTTGAAGTAAAAGCCTAAATGGTTGAAGATGGGAAATTTGCAGTTCCAGCACGAGCCCTGCCTTTGCACCCACCTCCTTCCTTCTCTCCACCTGTGGGCTGGAGCCCCCCCACTGATCCTCAGAGAAAGCCATCCTTCTGTTTTGCTGGGTGTGTGATCTCCATTAGTATGGTATTTAGCTGTAGAGCAGGGGTTCTCAAACTGGGGGTTGGGACCCCTTAGGGGGTCGTGAGGTTATTATGTGAGGGATCGCGAGCAGTCAGCCTCCACCCCAAACCCCACTTTGCCTCCAGCATTTATAATGGTGTTAAATATATAAAAAGTGTTTTTAATTTATAAGGGGGTTGCACTCAGAGGCTTGCTATGTGAAATGGGGGAGGGATAGCTCAGTGGTTTGAGCATTGGCCTGCTAAATCCAGGGTTGTGAGTTAAATCCTTGAGGGGGCCGCTTGGGGATCTGGGGCAAAATCAGTACTTGGTCCTGCTAGTGAAGGCAGGGGGCTGGACTCGATGACCTTTCAAGGTCCCTTCCAGTTCTAGGAGATGGGATATCTCCATTAATTAAAAAAAGAGAAGAAAGGGGTCACCAGTACAAAAGTTTGAGAATCACTGCATAGACCAGGCTCTCACCCTTCCAGCCTCTACTGGGAAACAGAATGTAATTGCAAGCAGGCAGAACACAACTGATTGCTGGAGCAATACACAAGACCCAGAGGGACTGGATAGCTGAACAAGAGACACACTGGGTGCATCCAACCTCTTCAGGCTATATCACATGACTTGTTGATTGACCTGAATGGGCCTGCACTCTGGTAGTGACAGATGCTGGCTGCGGTCTCAGGCACAAGGAAGCAGGACTTCTACACAGCCTGCTGTCTCATGGGTGTGTGGCCAGTATTTGTGGCATGGAGGAGGTCTCTGGAGCGTGTGTGGTGGGAATTCACAGTCCCTCGAGGGAGAGTGAAAGCGAGAGGTACAGTGGGGTTTCCAGGCCATGCAAGGAGGAGGGAAAAGGAAGATGGGCTCTCCAGCCCATCGTGGGATGGTGGATGAAGGAGGGCGTCAGGACTGCATACAACAGGTAAGATATTTTATTTATTTGGATCGAAACCCTCCACCCCAAAGAAGGCCCTTCCAGGCAGTACTTGTGCCATAGATTTATAAGAGGTGTTACAAACCACAGCCCCTGAAATCAGCAGCATTTTCCCTTTCCCACCCCAGCTACACTTTGTTCTAATCAGCAGCGTAGATCAGAACTCCCCTCTCACCTGGGCAGACTCAGGTCCCCTACACTGCCCCCTCAACAGGTCTGGAGGGTCACCGGGTTTAGGCTGTTCTGGATATTGGTTGGGGGATGACTCCTTTCTTTCCGAAGGAAAAGGGAACGATACAGAGAGCGCTTTGCCAGCTGCTGCCTCTGTGTTGTAAACTTTAGATTGTGAGCACTCAGTGACAGGAACTGTCCCACGCTATGGGTCTGGACAGTGCCCAGCACAAAGGGGCTTTGATTTCAGCTGGAGCCTCTGGGCACTATCATCAATTTAAACAATATCAGCAAGTAGGTTACATCAAGAGCTCCCCTGATCATCTCAGTCATGGCAGCATGATTCAGGGGGAAAGGGAGCTTCTCCAGCAGGAAGGTCCCAGGCTGCTGGCAGCTTTCGAGCTCCTGCAATATGAGATATACTATAGTCTTTGTAGACACAGTGGGATGGTGGGACAAGTGAATGATCAAATCTTTGCTTACTGTGGAGTGGGTGGCTGCTGCACTCTTCAAAATGTGGGCCTGTGGCCCATAGTAAATGTGAACATAGGGTACTGTGGGCAAGACAAAGGGGTGTCCAGCTTATATGTGGATGGCAGAAATCTCCATCCTATATGTGGATGGCAGAAATCTCCATCAGCATCAGATCCCCTATGACACAAGGAGTTCATAAAAGCCTACCAACAGTTCATGAGAAGACAAGACAGCTTATTATCACTCGACCACAGCCACGGCAAAATCCTGAGCAGCCGAACTGTACCAACAGTAAAACACCAGGCCACACTGCTACACCTCTGAGCTCAGCATCACCCAATGCAAAGATTTGCTATCATACTGAACTGGGCGGGTGGGGGGTGGGGGATTAGCAAAGGTCTTTGAGCCCCCAAGCAGCAGAAACCACAACAGGACAGACAAGCACCCCTATGCCACCCCCGTTAGCATTTCCTGAGTCAGAGTGGTAGAGGCCCTGGAAGTACTATGGGATGTCTGTGCTCCTTCTGGATTGTGAAGTCAAGTGAAAAACACGTGGGCCCATTCTGCACTGGTGTGGTCAATGTATCGCTCAAGGAGAGCAACTGCTCAGGAGGCCTAGAGCATGTGTCAGTCCAGCCAACACTCGGAATGAGAAGATCCACAGACGCCAAACCATCTCTTTAGCTACTGCCAGATTGTAAAACTTTCCTTGCTGGACTAGGTTACTGAGAAGTTCATGGCAAACTACCACCAGCAGCATCTAACTTTGGCCAGTATCCACTTGGCTGTGGCACAGATGCACACACGGGTGGTCTCATAGCTCTGGAGGAAGACACGTTACCCAGGTGGACTTTATTGGATCCAGTCGATGGAGCTGTTCCTCAAAGGTTCTGCTCGCTGCCAGACAGATTCCCAGAGTGTCAGGACAGGCAGCTGCTCCTCCTCATCCACAGCCCACCTGCAGAATCCCAGCAGGCTCAGCCCTATCCACTCTCCTGCTCTGCCTCTCTGTCCAACCACTAGGGCGCGTTGCCAACCTCAAATCAGCTGCCGAAATGCTGATAGATATTGGGGACATTGCCATCCACCCAGCTACCTCAGATTGTTCCACAATAATGGATATGGGAAAAATCAGGCGTTTTGGACTGGGTTGCCCCATGACTACTCCATTTATGTGGCATGTTACAACAGAGGTGGTTGCTGGCCCCACAAGACACTCCCATCCTCACCCCACAAGAAGGGCAAGAAAACAAAAGAGGAAGGGAAACCAAAGTCACATTTGTAACAAATTAGGTTTTAATGTGAATCCTTCAAGGACTTAACCCCATCGTTCTTCCTTCATGCACATCAGATCTCCAAGGGCTTATTGGCACTAGGGTGACAAGAGGAGCAAGTCTGCCACATCTGGTAGTCAGCAGGGTGAAGGGAGGTGCAGCCTCTAGTACAGTCAACGCGAAGGAAGTGTGGCCTCCACCCTGCAGCATCAGGACCTGCGGCATGCTCGCTGGGCCCCGAGGAGCTACAGAAAGGCAACGCTGTCAGAGGTAGTAGATTCTGGGCCAGGCAATGTGGACAGGAGAGGCCTTCAGAGCTGGTAAGTGTTACTGTAGTCACAGCAGTCCCAGTCCACCAACTCGCTGCTGTGAAACCACAAACTGATCTCCCTCTGGGCCGTCTCCACTGAGTCACTGGCGTGAACGATGTTCCTGCAGCCAAGAGAAACCTGCGATAAGGATGGCAGACGCGCAGCCTCAAGGGCAGAACCTGGGTGCCCTTGGGGACATGGTCCTGCAGCCGAGACCCTTCCCCTTGCCTCTGGCCACCACAGATGGGCGATATGCCCATGTCATAGCCTTGGTCACTTAAGTGTTACTTCATTCCCCCCCAGCATCTTCAGTCCCCGCAGCATCTCCCCACAGTTTCATTTGCTACCCCCCTGTGAGTACTCTCCCCTCACCCCATGCCCTCTACAGTAATGCTGTCCGCAGATAGGTCTACAGGAGCTCAAGACACAGACTGTCTCAGATGCCAGGGCGCTGCCAAGGAGGTTCAGGTCTGTGGGACTGCCCAGCATGGCACATGGCACTGCCCAGCATGCCAGAGTTAGTTGGCTGGCTGGCTCGGTGCGGTTTGTACCTGCTGACATGGATGCTGAAATCTCCCCGGATCGTCCCAGGCTTGGCTTCAGCGGAGTCGGTATCTCCTACCATGGCCCTGGAAGTCCTGACCACATTGTAACCTTCCCACACCTGCAATAGACACAGGCTGTGTGAGCTGAGACAGTGCAAGCTGCACAGAAACTCCCATTGCACAACCATCCTGGGCAGACAGAACTCTGCTCCAGCAGCCAAACTGGGTGCCCCCTTTAGGGCTGATCTCAGGGCCATTAACCGGTGTATGCAGGCTGTCTGGGCCCTCCAGAAGGGGGGTGAGTACTGGGGAAGGCCAGGGGTGCCTGGGATCATGTTGAGCTCCTCAGTCCCATCAGACTCCTCCTACCCGGTGTGAAAGAAGCAGAGTGGGGCAGCCAGCCAGGCACAAGGCAGGGGAGGGCCACGCCAAGCTGAGCCACAACGCAAAGTCCTGGGCCTACACTGGCAGCATTTGCACTGTGAGCACTGATTCTGTGCGGGAGGGGAGTGGAGCAGAGGACAGAGACAGTGTGATGTGCGGGGAGGAAAAACTAACGGAAACCAAGGCCAAAGCCAAAAGGGCTGAGCGAGCATCAAAGCAGCAAGGCCTGAGCCTGGGGGAGGGGCTGCACCTGGGACTGATGTCACCACAGGCTCATCATCTTCCCCACCCGTCATGATCCTAAGCCCCTCCGCAGGTCACTGGAGCAAGGGGCTTTCATGGTGTTTGCACTGAAGCTTCACCCGGCTGGGGCGGGCACACGAGGCTGGTCACCCTCACTTTCCGATTCCCGCGCTCATGCGGGGCAGGTGCTGGTTCCCAGCACAGCAAGGGAAGGTCCCAGTTCCACCCAATATACGGTCCCCTGTATTGCACTGGGCAGGGAACATTCTCCACTTGGACCTGGGCAGTGCTTAATTTATAATGAAGGAGGTGCTGGGGCTCAAGCAATTGTTTTATATCCATAACTGACACAGCAAGCCCAGAGGTGCCGGGGCTCTGAACTGCCAGGCCCAGAGGTGCCGGGGCTCAGCCCTGGCACAAATTAAGCACTGGATCTGGGGCTGAACAAACCAACTTTAGAAACCAAAGCCCCAGAGAATGTGGATTCCAGGACAGAACGTGTTGGAAGATTCCCTTTCATTGAGAGAAATCAACAATGAAACTAAAGTAATGTCCTACATCTAATTCCCCATCCCCACCCATCACCTTTAACCCACCCCACCCTTCCCCTGTGCCCTTCCCCCACACCCTTTGCCCCTAAACACACGCACACACGTCAACTGGGCTCGCAGCCTTACCATGGCAACCACTGGGCCTGAGGTCATGTAATGGATCAGTGCTGGGTAGAAGGGCTTCCTCCGCAGCTCATGGTAATGTTCTGCCAAGATCCCCTCATTGGCCTGGAAGAAGGGGGGACCCCAAAGTGAGAAGCAAGCCCTGAGCCCAGGACAGGACCCAATGGGAAATCAATACCCCCTCCCTATGGCCAGAAGAGAGAGTTCATCCAGCAACTCCCAGCACTCAGCCTCTCCTCTGCACCTTCCCTGTGCAGAGAGTGGTTCTACCCAGATTTCTGGGGGAGCTGCAGAGGCAGGAGCCAGAGATCAAACAAACTCAGTTCTTGCTTGTCCCATGACACCAACCAAGGGGGTGTCTCCCCATTTACATTGCCCCTGGCCCCCATTTGTGGATCCCAGGGGGTGGAGTGGGGACCTAGAGGTCAGTGGTCAAAGGGTTAATGGACTGGACTCACACCCCAGCAGATTCTGGTTTAAATCACCAAGGAGATGAGCCTGGAGAACTCCATCTAAGCCCTAGCGGGCCTGTATTCATACCACGAAACAGCACACTAGTGGCAATTGCCTCTGACTCAAAAAGCCTGGATGAAACTGGAATAGCAGGGGGCAGCTGGCCAGGATTTAGGGGCAAGGACAGAGTTGGGGCTTGCAGGATTGCAATAATGGAGGTCAGGTGATGCAGTGGGAGAGGTTGCGGGAGATGTGGGGGTGAGGCTCAAGCCTGCAATAGTGGAGTGTAGAGGGCCAGATCCGACAGGGAAGGGTGGGCTAGAGCTGCAGGATGCATTGGGAGACACACTTACGCTCCAGACTGGAGCAGCAGGGGGTGCTGAGGGCCATGTTTGAGCTGTGACTCGGGGAAGGTTAGACAGCTCCTGGCTCAGGCCAGCATTGATAGCGCCTCACTTCCATCAGCACAGAAATCCGGGCCATGTTTTAACGTCCCCCCGCCATCTAGCTGGTCTGTCCAGGTCTCTAGTCACCTGGCCCCAGATCAGAAAACCAGGCTGTCCTCTGGGATGTGGCAGGCAGGTACCTGGAGCAGCTTCATGCCAACTAGCTTGAATCCGCGCCTCTCAAAGCGCTTGATCACGTCACCGACCAGCCTCCTCTGCACTCCGTCCGGCTTCACCGCCACCAGTGTCCGCTCCTGGATCCCAGGGATCCCTAATGGGCAGCGAGAAAGGGAGAAGGCCAGGTTACAGCCCAGGTCACCCATCCACAAACACAGCGAGACTGGGCACCATCCTTCTCCCAGCAGCTGCACAGCGAGCCCTGCAAGGACCCGACCTGAGCAGGGAACAGGAGTTACTGGTTTCACGCTGCAGCTGGTTTTGCTGCTCAGACCCGTGGTGTCGGCAGGAGGAGCCAGAAGTTGGGGGAGGATTCCCAGCACTGCCTGGGTTTTGCTGCCTGGCCCCAGCTGGACACTGCAGGGTGGGTAGGTTTCTCTCACAGGGTTAGCAACAGAGAGTCCAGATCCAGACTAACACGGCTACTCCTCTGATACTCTCACAGGGTTGGCTCCAACAAGGTGCTGAGCACCCACTGGTTCTGCAATGGGAGCTGTGGGTGTTTGGCATCTCTTACAACTAAGGATTGGGAACAATTTAACCTCTTCAAAAATCCCCCTGGGGCAGCAGCAGATGGACAAGCCCAGGCGCTCAGATACCATGGTGATGGGCACAGCATCATCAGTACCCTACTGGCGCATGAAGAGAGTGGGTGTGCGGGGCCAAAGATCAGAAACTCCTGGAGCAGGGGCTCAGAATACAGGATCTGGAAGATCAACATCTGTTCTTAGAGCCTCCCAGCAAACCCTCTCTCAAGGCAGACACGGCGTTGGGGACAGTGCACTCAGTAATCACCAGCATAGATCTCGTGGGTGTTAATGAAAGGACTGGCCAAGCCAAGCAGCGGGCTCAAGGGAATTAACCCCACTTCCCACCTGTCTGTCACCGTCCAATTGTTTAAGTGCACTGCAAGGTTCCCACCTCCTTCTGAAGGAAGTGGGCACTAGCTGCAGCTACTGGCAGGATGCCGGACCAGCGGGACCAATGGGTCCCAATGCAGGATGGAAAATCCTCTGGGATACTGGGCAGCACGGTGCACATTGCCAATGGGCATCAGCAGATCAGGAATGCCCTCTCCCTGGGGGCCCTGTCAGCCTGGAGACTTGCCGACATTGCTCTGCACTCAATACCCTGCCAGGACAAGCCAATTGCAGCAGCCCAACCAGAGCACAGGATGCAAACATCGTTCCTGCTCAGTGAGGAGTCACAGCCCTGGAAGCTGGGCTCAGTCCCCCAAGAGCAGGCCTCTCCCACAGTCAGTGCAAAGGCACAGGGGTCAGAGCCTTGGGGGCTGGTTGTTAGAAAAGGCAGGCAGTGCCTTGGGGCTGACCTGCAGAAGTGATGTACAGCAGATAGAGCACAGACCTGGGAGTCAGGATCCCTGGGCCCTATGCCCAACTCTGTCACTGACCTGCAGGTCATATCACCGCTCTGTGTCTCAGTTTCCTCATCGGCACAATAAGGAGAATGACACTGACCCACCAGGCTGAGAGACTGACTTCATTAGCGTCTGCAAAGGGCTTTTAGCTCCTCGGATGGTAGGTACCAGGGAAAGGCACTGCCTGGCCAAGAGATACCCCCCCTGCCTTGTGCCCTTTGCTGGCCTGCCCGAGGGTATGCCTGTCCAGAAAGCAGGGAGGCTTATGGTGGTTGAGTGTGGGTGGAGATAGTTACTGTGGTCTCAGGAGCCTCAGCTCTCAAAGCAGGGCAGTATCCTCACCTCCATTTTAGAGAGGGGGAAAGACACAGGGAGGGGAAGTAACTTGCCCAAGATCACCCAACCGCACAGCCAAGAATAGAACCAAGTCTCCTGAGTCCCTGTTCAGTGCTTCACCCACTAGGCAACACTGCCTCAAATGCAACATTCCCCTCCCAGAGTAGCCACAAGCCTGTGACTACACAAGGTGCAATTGGGGCTGGACTGCTCAGGCTGGAGCCTGCAGCCAGAGGCACAGGCAGCAGCAGCGCTAGCAGCCCCCTTCCCTCAGCCCCCACTTCTGCTCAGTGCCAGCCCCAGGCTCCTGCAGAGCAAGCCCTAGGGCCATGGGACGTGCAGAGAAGAGTGTCCCTCTTGCTTTCTGCTAGCGGCGAGGGACACCACCCCAGCTGGATCATCTTCACCTACTCACACACCTCACCTTTTGGAACTACAACATATCCCTAAGCCAAATCTCTAGTCACCAGCTGGAACTATTGAAGGCTGTGGTGCCTTGTATCCTGCAGCCACTGGACCAGCTGGAAGTGCCTGGCTTAGCCAGGGGACATGGGGGGGCGGAGGGGGGAGGCAGCTGGCGCTCAGTTCCCCTTTGCTGGTGACTCTCTGCAGCGAGGTGGGCAGGGAGCACAGACCAGGCAGGAGGGAAGATTTCTGGATCCAATAGGAGCTTACAATTGGAGCTCCCCATGCAAGAGACAAGTGGGGAGAGGAGACGTGCAGGAAGCCCCTGGGCCTACCAGGAGTTTGCAGGGTCTTCAGCTTGAGGAATGGTTTCTGTGCTCCCCCACTCCTGGCTCAGCTCAGCCCCTACCCCACTAGGCTGCTGCTGCAGAGGATGGCAGCTCTTAGCTGCTTTGGCTGAACTAGCAGTGGGCTGGGCTTGGGGCTGGAGCTGTGTCAAGGCCACAGGGAGCCGGGAGAAACAAGCCACTGTGCTAAGTGCTCCCAAGCCAGGGGAGAAGCACGAAGCATCTCAGCCTGCAGCATCTCTGTGGGAAGAGCTACTAAGCAGGAGCCACAGTGCCAGCCTCCAACACACAGCTGCAGACACCACTCCAGTCTCCTTCCCACCCAGATCGCCACCCCCACCCTCCAGTCTGAGTTCTTCACTTTCAGCTCTGCCATCCTGGCCCATTGCCTTGCCCCTATTCTGCCAGTCTGGGCAGCCCAATTATTTCCTTCTCCCACTCCTGTCTCATAGGGGGCACCTTTCACTCCCTGCTGCCACTGCTGCATGGGGTGACCCGGCCACCCCAGCTCACCAAGCCAGCACCCTCCCTCTCTTCCCTGAGTCCTACCATGGTCAGGGGGAGGGGAGCGTATGAGTGATTTCCACCCCAGCTGCCAGAGACATCCTAGCCCATGGGTCTGAGTGTTGGGACAGGGCCTGGCTGGATTTGTGTGTATTGTACTGCAGGGAGCACATGGGCCGCACTAGCCATTCCCCAGGATATGAGAAGACACTTTTCTGCAGGATTCCCCCCAATTACCAGGCAAAGGGGATCCCACCTCTCCCCTTTCAGACAGCTGAGGCTCAGCTATCTGCTAATTGGAAAGAACCAAGCTGGAGGCCTCATGGGACTCATCTGTTTCCAATCTCAGCCCCTTGGTATTAACCAGAGACTCCCAAAGACCAGGCCTGGGCTCAGCCAGCTCCATGGGGAAGGGACACAGCTCTTTAGATCTCACTCCAGCCTTCAATCTCTTCCCAGATGCTGAAGGATGAGCAGCCCCCGGCCTTAGCAGGGGGAGACAGGACTCAGGAGTCTTTTGGGTGGGCTTGGACTCGGCAGGGTGTTCTCTCCAGCCATCTGCGAGGGGCTACACAAAATGTACGTGATTTGCATTAAGTTGTGGGGATCCCAACACACTTCACAGGTTGTATGCCAACAAAGGATCAGGTCAGCCACCCTGGGGCAGGCTGCCGCAGCTCCTCTGAACCGGCAACTCTAAACAATGGTCCGGTCCAGGACAGGACAGGACAGGACAGGACGACCCCACATGGACATAGCCGCATAGCTCTGCCAGCACAGCCTGCACCCCCGGAAGGGGTTTTTCCATGGGTGTAGGAACACCGCCTCCCCAGAGGAAGTTAGCTCTGGCAATGGACACTCTGCCCTCGACACAGCTGCATCTACACTGGGGGTAGGTGTGATGGAGCAAGGAGCAGGGCAGATTTGACCTGGGAATGTTGCAGGGGGGTTGCAGTGGGGATGTGGGACTTCCCTTGAAGGAAGCTACCTGAGCTGTAACCTGAGCCAGGAA